ACCTTAAAAAAAGACCAGAAAATGCACAGAAACAGGCAGGAGTGTCTGAATTTGCATAAATTTGTGGCAAAAGATGTATGCCCGCCGCTTGGCGCTCCCAGTCCGGCATGTGGGATGCGCCATGGTGAAAGCGGCAGTGTTCACCCATCCCATGGCTTCGGTTTGGAGGAACCTGCCCATTCCCTCTCTTCCTCCCAGACCAAGCGCCAGCCTTGGCAGCTGCTCAGATGAGCAAAAACAGCCCATGCACCAATTAAGACTGAAAACCAGGCGGAGACCCAGCGCTAACACCCACATCGGAGGCAGAGGCCGATGAGCTGGAGCTCACCTTTCCCCAGGAGGGAGCTAGAGGAGGGTGGGGGAATATTTTATGTTTTGAAGCTTGTTCCCCAGGTTGCACCTCGTGTTGCGGGACCTCGGCACACGTCCCTGTAAACCACCTGAGGCCCGCTGATGGTGAGGGATTACGAATGAAAAGCTGCCTAGAGCTTTTGTTATTTGGAAAAGCAAGAGTTCAATTAACAAAATAAGACCTCACCGCTGACCTCCTCTCCCCAAAACACATTTGCCTAAACTGTGAGGGGACAGATTTTACCCTGCGTGGCAAACTCGACCCATCCCGCCCATCTCCACATCTGGCCCACGGCAGTTTTGCAGATGTGCTCGCTGCTTGGACCAAGGGGACACCTTGAGCCCCAGAGACGCCCACGCTGGTGGGTTGGCAGTAAAAGCCGGGAGAGCAGCACCCAGACACCCTCCACGCACATGGAGGCTTCAGCCCTGGGGGGAAAGTAATCTTTTTTTCACTGTCATCCATCTTTGAGACACGCTGTCTACATTTATATTCTTAGAGTAAGTGCCCAAGCACTTGAATAATTTTTTTTTTAACCGCTGGGCACGCAGATGGGCCATGCCGATTTGCATACTGCAGCCACCGGAGCAGAGGGGCTGGGAATGCCCCTCATCCACGCGATGATGCGGTTCCTGGAAACCGTAGTGATTTTGAGAGCAGCTCGTGCGGTCACGCACAGACGACGTATCTCCACAGGGAGCGGTTACAGGGCAGAGCTGCATTTCCCTGCTGCCCCTGTCCTCATGCATGCTCACACTACCTTGCTCAGCGACGCCAAGTGATGCACCCCACAGCACTCAGTAGTTGAAGGAGGATCTGAAAGTTTCTGGTTCAGTGAAGACTTGAAAATCACCTTCACAAAAAACACTGCCTGCTGGCAACGCGGCTGCTGCTCAGGACCGCAGGGCTGCAGTTCCCAAGCTGCTGGTGCTCCCAGAGCTGCACTGGGACCCCACGGGCTCCAGTAGCTGCACTGGTGGGCTGGCCCCAGCCAGCAACTCAGCACCCATCAGCCACTCGTGCACTCCCCACCAGTGGGATGGGGGAGAGAAGTGGAAAAGCAAAAGCAAGAAAAACTCGTGGGTTGACCTAGGATGGACTTCCTAGCCAAGGAGAGATGCACCTCTCACTCCTGATCTAGAAGATGAATGAAGAAGCAACTCCTGGCCAACACCAACACTAAACCTTCTTGTGCAGCATCTACCAAAGACAGGTGGGAAATGCCGTGGTCTGAGCTGTACCTGCACGTGCACTGCGTGCGCAAGCTTGCAGGGGCTGCTACAAGGCCCTCCAAGTTTACGTCTCTAGGAGGAAAGAAAGATTCTGGTCCCCTCATGGACGGTTTCTTGGGAGATGTCTCCCAGGCCCCAGGCCCCATCAGGTGGCCATATTTTTCATGAGTGGAGATGACACCCGAACAGGTCTAGAATGGGACAGGAGACCTGCCCAAGCCTCTCTGGGCTGCCTGGGCTGAATGAAGAGCTGAATACCTTTGGGGATGACGACTCCTTTCTGCTCGTGGCAGAACCTGACACAGACTGAGCACTGACGGAGCTTTCCCAGGCCCATACGGAAACCAGGCAGGAGGAAAAGTAGCAACCATCACTGCAGAACCAAAAACCCAGAAGTAGCACTGACATCAGTGGACCGAAGCTTTGGGAGGGAAAGGAGGAAAGACTGAGTCCAAAGCAAATTTGTAATGATGCGTTCACCAAATTACAAGCCAATAAATGTCAATTCAACCTCAGCAACAGCCTCAGGGCGTGTGTGGGGTGTTCACTGCTGCGTGCAGTTTGGGTAAGACTTTCTGAACGCACTCTGCAGGTAATGATGGAGCAAAAAATACTGCTGTCTCCAGTGGGCAGATGTGCTCCCAGCGCGAGCATACACATAAACAAATACCCGCAGGAGAGGGAATAGGTGCTTTTCAGGCTCAGGGCCGCATGTGGTTCTCTAGCACCTGGTAATATCTGGTTTTGTCTAATTCCAGATAAAATAAGATAAAATAAAATAAAATAAAATAAAATAAAATAAAATAAAATATCTATTTTACATATTGATCTCTCTCTTCTTGCACTTTGTACAGCGCATGTAGTCTTAACACACTTGCATGCTTTCCCTCTGCACTCAATGATGAGTCCTGTGGAAAAATGATGCATGTGGAAAAATGGTATATGACCTCTAATTGTGATGCATATACATACAGAAAGCAGAAATAAGAATGTATGAGCTAGCGTTTCCTAACCGTTAACGCTATTTGTACCACCCCTCAGCCCACGGCTCTCAGGCAGCGTGTTGCCTGTGGGACCCCAATGGCATCTGCAGCCACAGGGAACTCAGAGGTTGACCCAAAGGAGGATGCTTGAGGACACGAGTCAAAGCCAAGGACACCGACGGTGACAATGAGCCTCACCAACAGCTGGGCTCACACTGCACAGCACGAAACCAGCCCTGTCCTAGAAAGCACTTTATCTACTGAGAAAGCAAGAAAGACACCTGGGGCGGACGCAGAGGAAGCAGCGCAGAGCCCTGCCAGCAAAGGCAGGCACCACACAACCCACGGGTGCTACGGCGCGG